AATTAAAAACATATTGGGTGGAGGAACCGCGCCAGGGGAGAGTGACACTCTGCACAGCGGACGCAGCACACCAGGAGCCGCTCCAGTTCTCCGGAGATAGCGCCCGATCCGAGGAAGACCAACCCAGGACCTTCCCAGTAGAACAAGGGAAGAACAGGTCGAAGCCACCGGTGAGCCTGATCCAAGAAACGCCAGACCACGGAGCCACCATAGAGAGGCTCGAGAAAAGGGCTTGAAATACAGCCCACATGCAGACGGGCTTTCAGCTTGATCGCAAGTCCTACCGGAGACCTGTGTCTCCTCATGCGCTTCCTCCGTGGACTATTAAGAGGCCAGCGGCGAATGACTCTGGAATGTCCGTTGTAAAACTCCCAAGCGGTTTGCAAAAAACAAACTCCACATCCGACTTGTGAAAATTAAAAAATGTTGACCGTATATCCAAAAGAGACTGGCGATCATAAACCACAAGGGTGCCACAGTTTGAGTACCAAACTATCAGACAAGAGAGCAGCAGATGGCATGCCGACACTGGCGCCATCTTGCCCTCAAAAAAAAAAAAAAAAAAAAAAAAAACGTAATTGGAGGATGGAGGAACAGCGGATAATAGCTGTACAGCGATAGCCTTTTTTTGTATGCATAAATTTACTACTGTAAGCGATTTTCAGTGCTGGGAATCCACTTATCCTTTGCTGAAACTTCCTCGTCATCATGGAGAGCGCAGCTCATGGTTGCTTAGCAAAGGTAGACCCAACAGGAGCGCAAGCTCCCAAGTGCTTTGGAAAGAAGGTGAAAGTGGCACAGCTAGCATTTTCCATGCGTTTTTTAGCGCGACATACTTTGGGGTGCCCACCTGTGACGTCACAGGCTACGTGGGCCAATAGGATTGGATTAGTTTCAGACGTGCTTCAAACACCGGTCCTGCTGGCGGCTGTCCCCATCGTGTCTGCTAGAGGACGCAGCACGAGTTCCCTAGAAGGGGAAACGCTCTCATTCACCCTTCCAGCAGGGAGCAATATGAATGGTTATAGTCAGCCAGAAAATGATAGGGTACAATAAAAGGAAGGGTTTGAAACTTCTACGACTCTGCCCTAAATGGAGGGCGTCTGCACTAAAACTAAACCCTGCTGTTCCTGGCAAACAAAGTCATTAATGACAAAAAACAATTACACTATTCTACGAGAAAGCATCTTTAGGAAAGTCAGCAGTTATAGGCCTACACCGTAGTATAAACTTTTTTTCTCATTCCTGAGATGTGCAAGGAAGAACTATACCATAACCTACATTTTCTTTACAATATATATAATATATTTAATTCAAATGGATTCATCTGAATACAATGAGATTTGCAATCTAAATAACTAAATCTGCTCTACTTTCTGCACAAAAAATGGCTAAGGATCAACCTATGCTCATCTCACCTGCATAATAAAAAAAAATGCATAACCCTTTATTTTACAGAAAATAAACAGATTCTGAATTATCCTAACCAACACCCAAACAAAAACATGCACTTTCTTTTCATGTAAGAGAGGTATTTCAATGCAGAACAGAAAGTCAGTATGTCAATACAGTGCAATGCAATGCCCAGACAAAGGCAGACGGTGAGATGCGGAAACAAAGGAATCCGAGAGAGAAGTAGGGTCTACTTTTATTTTGAAGCTGAGATGCCTTCTGCTGAGCATAATTCAGAAATTAAGCACACTGCATTCACAGCTGCCTTTCATTGAATGTCAAGCGTATTTCCATTCTTCCATTTTCTCAAAATGGAGCTGGCTAAGAAAGGGGATAAAAGCCAATCCTGCTGAAGAAAAGTACCGTGGGATGGCAGTCATTACAGACAGGCCTTCCAACAGACCCAGGGGGGCATTTTTAACAATTTTATGCAAGCGAATATATTTTTTACAGATATTACAGCAGGAGAAAGTAGAGCACTTTTCGCATTGTCGGACTGAGTCCTGCGGGTTCCTTCACAAGCTATATATATATATATATATATATATATATATATATATATATATTTAATAAATAAATCAAGCTATATATATATATATATATATATATATATATATATATATATATATATAGACGTTTGGCATATGTACAGAACCATTTACAGTAATGGGGAGACTGGTCGTGGCCTATTTAATTTATGGCAAAGAAGATAAGATGTGTGAAAGCAAAAAGCATCAAGGTTACACTATTCCCCGTACAAGAAACCAAGAAAATGCAGCAGACAAAAAAATTTTATAAAAAAATCAGCTCTAACATGGAGGCCCTGGACACATGAATGTATTATTTATGAATGAATGAATGAATGAATGATGCATTTATATAGCGCCTTTATTGTGTATTGTTTTACAAAGCGCTTTACAATCATTTGGGGGGTCTCTCCTCAACCACCACCAATGTGCAGCATCCACTTGAATGATGTGCCAGCTACAGGTGTAGAGGAGAGAGAGTCATAGAGCCAATCAAGTGGATGGGGATTATTAGGAGGCCATGATTGACAAAGGCCAGGGTGGTAATTTGGCCAGGACACCGGGGTTACACCCCTACTCTTTACGAGAAGTGCCATGGGATATTTAATGACCACAGAGAGTCAGGACCTCGGTTTAACGTCTCATCCGAAAGACGGTGCTTTTTTTGTCAGTATAGTGTTCCAGTCACTACACTGGGGCGTTAGGACCCACACAGACCACAGGGTGAGCACCCCCTGCTGGTAGTGCTGGGCTGTATGGCCAAAAATTTATATCACGGTATTTTTCAAAATTATACCGGTTTCACAGTACAAGACGGTATTTTTTTTTCATGCATGATCGGGTGTTAACCATATTTTCTTCTGATTGAGAGAGGAAATAATGCAGTATATTGACTTAGAATGCCCTATTTTACGGTCATGATGAGTGAATAATGTCAAAAAATACCACACTAAATAGTGACTAAACATGACCCCTTTTAATACATGTTAACCAGGAGTCACTCTCATTTATAATCGCGGCATCGTCTGATAAAATCAACATGCATCTACACTAAAGAGCGGATATGCGGTTGTTTTGGCTATATTACTTTGTCTCACGCAGCGCACTGCCTGCGTCTGAGTGACTAAAAAAACAACAAACAAAAAAGTGCATGTGATATTAACAGACGAACTATATTATATATATAATATTTATAATTCCAAACAATCAGTAAGCGACAGGTGCTAGGAAACGCTGTTTTGTACTAATTTATTGACGAGTCGGCTGCGGTGCGGCCAACTGAATGAGCTGCTTCTCTGTCGCTCACTGCACAGAAAAGACGCAGAGAGAGGTGACACTTCTCCGGGAAAGTCAGACCTCGCGTTTGCGGGACAGCACTGGTGAAATCTTCCAACTGAACCATAGCTAAGGTTTATACAAAAAAGTCGCTAGGCTTGTCAGTATGAATATTCTATGTAAAAAATCCGCTAAAAGGGTCTGAAAGTTGCTACATCTAGTGCTAAAGTCGCGCTCGTGTGTGTGAGACGTGGGAGCTGATGGCAGGGGGCGGTGGATATTTGTGGTGGTCAATGTGGATTTTGTGGATGAGTCCTTCTGTCATCACGTTCTATTAGTTCTACAGCTTCAGTTTCGGATTGCTTAGTAACACATACAGCTGTTCCCTCATCACAGTGTAACACCCCTTTCAAACAGTGTCGCGTTCCGAACGTTGTTTAAGTGACATATACTGGTATTGAGGTATTTTCAAAATTCATATCATAAAAAAAATAAAAACCGGTATTCGGTATGAACCGGTATACCGCCCAGCACTACCTGCTGGCCTCACTAACACCTCTTTCAACAGCAACCTAGTTTTCCCAGGAGGTCTCCCATCCAGGTACTGACCAGGCTCAACCCTGCTTAGCTTCAGTGGGCAACCAGTCATGGGCTGCAGGGTGATATGGCTGTGGCTTATGTACTGTATTATTTGCAAGCTCAAGCACATTTTTATATTTCCCAATAAACTGCAAAAAAATTCAGCATAAATAACATGCATTACCCTTTTATTTCACTCTATTTTAGAGTTAATAATAAATAATCCTTTTATTATAAAAAAAATAAATAAATAAATATATATATATCTATCTCATATGAGTCATCTCTGAAGCCATGCAGTTGATTTGGTTTACGAATTGGACTGGTCACTGACCAATGTTCCAGTCGCAGTGATTCTCGGGTTAACAGCTGACTGACAGCAATATTATCAGTAAATAACCATTTTAATGCATTATTTCAACTCATTTAATGCAACTCTTACTGATAATTATGTTATGGCTGATAACAAATAAATGTGGGGTTCACTAAGCCCTGGGGGTTAGTGAGGGAACTGCAGGGGGTTTGTGATTTGATGAATACTAGGGTCATATGACTATTAATTGGCACCTGTAAACCACGAACATGCAAATGAGTAAAATTATTGAATTTATTAAAATCTCAGGGGGTACTTCAAGAAAACATTTGTCAAAGGCGTTCAACTTAAAAAAATTAATAAATTATGGTACGGTATTAAAAATACTTATTTTAACATATTTAACATGTATTATTTATTAGCATTTTCAAAGAATAAACATTACATTAAAAAAATTACAGATTAAAAAAATATCAGCTAATAACTGAAACATAACCAGTTTATTATGAATCTTTTAGTGTTTTGTCATTTTTGAGCTTGACAAGCTGTTCACTATTAACAGTTGTTATATGAAAAGAGCTTTGTGAAGATCCTTTAAAACTGTCATTCTGTGTTCCGCTGATAAAAAAAAAAAAAAACAATAAGTAACATAATACTTTAGAACCGAAATATCCGATTTTTGGTGAATAATCCCTATAACGCATGCAGTACAAAACCTAGAGATGTTAGCATTTCTACTTCTTGAGTTGTTTCAAGATAAGCGCCATTAATGAACTAGCCGGTGTTAATTTGAGAACATGCCCTGCTGATGGTGAACTGAGGTGGCAGAAGCAGACAGAAGAAGAAAAGGGCACCTGCGGCATTGGGCTCTGCGAGAAGATCCTCCACGGCAGCATCACCTGGCTTCACCAAGATAACACCGTAGCCCTGATTGTTGTGGATCACGTTATTCACCATGGTGATTTTAGGCATGGCGTCCAACTCGTCTGCAAAATCCTGCCAAAGGGGAAGCAGGGGATGGTAAACATGCAGCATGCCTACACAAATGAACATGTGCACGCACATGCTCACATCTCTTTCTGGCCTAAGCAAAGGGAGGAAGAATAAAAGACTGAGGTTGGGAAGGCGCAGCATGTACACAAATGCACAAAGCTTTAGGAAGGTAGATAAAATCGAATTATTCCGCTAGAGTTAATTATGGAAAAATCCTTTTGGGATGCTGCTACCTGTGTGAGAATCTAATTTGCTCTCAGGTGAAAGACTAACACTGACTTGAGCTGAAGTATTATGCGATGACTTTCTCAAGACACACTTTCTCAAATGTGTCAAATCCACAAAGATTCATGTCTACAACTCCAGGGTGCTCACTGGCTTTTCTAAGATGTCCTCTGAACTGTGAGAGCGTGCTGACCTCTGGTGACACAGCTTAAAGCTATTACCATCAAAGACGCCCTACAGTGGTCAGTGAAGTCCCACTCCACTAACACACTAAAGAGGCCAACTTCCCTGGAGGTCTTCTAAATGCATTAATTCACTAGATCATTAATACGATACTAAGACAGCTCTAAAGTGCGGCTCTGTTGGATCAGGTAAGATACTTGCTGTTGCCTGGGCAACAATTAGCCGTAACCAGGAGCCAGACGGGCTAATTTATAGGTGTTTAGAAGAGCCGAAGCTCATCCATCTTCCTCACCTTAATCAGGATCCCCTCCTTGCAGTGATGGATGCCATTGCCCTCCAGACTGCATACACTCCCAGGGTAGATCTCCACACCGGCACCCTGAAGCGAGCACACAGCGACCATCAGAATGATAATGGTATTGGTCAATGAAGAAGGGGCTATTTAGTGAAACGGCTGGTGGTAAATCAGTCTAAGAATGCTTCTGGCAAGACCTTACTCATCTGGATTTCATACTGTAATAACTACTGCAAAGAATAGATGACAGAGCAATACATTTAAATGATAATACTCATTTCATGAGTAAAGAAGTCATCTTATAATTTAAGTGAGGTACCGTGTGCTAGTGCAGCTTACCTTGGAGCCATACAGGTCGCACATGTTCATGCCGAGCTGGGCCGCCGATCGCACAATCACACCTGTGGTCTCACACTGCATCACACAATTTTCCATTTCCAGCTTCCCCTGGCGAACACCTGATGAAAGATAAAGGGTGCCAAATCGAAAATACATTGGAGGACGGCGGCAGGACATGCAAGGAGGAAAGGTCACATATAAAGATATAGAATAGTGCTACGCTACATTGAATATTCACAATACAAAATAACATTAACGGTATTCACAATGATTTTTATGTGACTACTCTGTTTCCAAAATTAGATCAGTCATCCAGATTTCTGGATATGTAAGCGTTAAAACAGATAACATCTTTTATTTAAAGTTTTATTTATATTGGTGAACCACTTCAAACTGTTTTGAATAGTCCCTTTCACACAGAGATTCCAGAAAATACACGGATATGTCCCATGATTTGTCCTGGGATGGTTTGATTTTGGTTCATTCACACTGCCAGTGATTTTCCGGAATCTGTGCGTGCGTTCACACACATCCCGTAAAGATCCTGTAAAGACACATGACATTAGGATATGATGTGTAATGTGGCGCGTACCGTTTCACTAAGCTTGCGAACGATCTCAGCTTCAGCGCGGATAGTAAGGAGCTCCCTGATCTCTGCTTCATTCCAGTTTGCACATATTTTTTCGTTGTGAACGTTGATCTGCCTTCAAAACACCCGGTAAAAGAGTCACACGATAACGTGCGTCATCACTACGACACACCCTTTACGGCATTGGTTCTGGCTTTTGTTCACACAGGCCTCATCCCGGGACTGATCCCGGAAATATAACTAGTTCTCCATCTCGGGACGTGTTTGCGTTCACACAGAAGGCACTCCAGCAATTTTCCAGAATCAACACGCTGTGTGAAAGGGGCTAATGACTGAAAATTTTGATTAGCAATTATATATATATATATATATATATATATATATATATATATATCATTAAAAATAATAATAAACAATTCACAGAAACCCCTTTCTGTATTGTTTATGTTTAAAAATATTTTCAGTATAGATCTATGTGGGTAATCTACTGCTGTTCTTTGACAAAAAATTGTTATAATGGTGAAAACATCCTATGGTTTAAAAGTTTAGGGTCAGTAGGATGTTTTTAATGTTTTTGAAAGACGTTTCATATGCTCACCAAGGCTGCATTTATTTGATCAAAAAAATAGTAAAAACAGTAATATTGTGAAATATTATTTCAGTTTAAAATTACTTTTTCTATTTTAATGTGCTTTAAAATGTAATGTGCTTCTGTGATGCAAAGCTGAATTTTCAGGAGCAATATGCAGATTTCTGCAAATATTCTCGATTTAAAAAAAAAACTTTTTTTTATTAGAAAGATCAAAATAACAGCAAATAGAAGCTTTTGTAACAATGTAAAAGTCATTACTGTCCCTTTTAAACAATTGAATGCATCCTTGCTGAATAAAAATATAAATTTTCTTTCAAATAAAGAAATAATTCGGCTATAATGACTGGTCAAAATGGTGATTAAAAGTCCCTTTTAAGCAGAACAAATTCACAGATGGAGATTCTTATTAAAAAAAAAAAAGTCTGAAAAATAGTGTCAAACTTTTTTTTCCTTATTTATATTGTCCAGCCATAATACAATAGGGAACATATTGTTTTGGAAGCAAGCAGGATATCCGGTGGATAATAAGCCTGTTACTCTGACCAGATCAGAAATCCCACAGGAAGCAAACCTTTAGTGAAGCTGCACAGGGATACAGATTTAAAGTCTCCCTAGGCTAGGCATGCCAGAACAGCTCACCAATGAAATGACAAGGAAAACAAAAGATGACTTGTTACTGTGAGGCCAAATGAATGTCTGAGCAAAAGCAGCATGCATGTCTGTTATCTGTTGAATATACTGCTGTCCATTCAACAGCAGCAGTCCCTCAAGACTCTTCGACAAACAGCTGGAAAGGGGGGAAAGAGGCCGGACAATTTTCTTTGAAACTCACACAAGATGCCTTCAATGGCGTCGCGCTGTATGAACTTTAGATTTGAGAGTTTGACATTTGCTCCTGTTGACTCCACAAAAGTGTCACCCTTGTTACGCTTCTCGATCACCACCTCGTCCGGCAGACCGTATCCTGAGGGAAGACGGGGAGAGAAATGGCTCTAAAAAAAAAGTGCTTTCATGACCAACCCTCACATATTAGGCAAACACTTTTCATCCAAAGCACCTTACAAAAAGCAAAAAACTTATTTTACTAAATAAAATATGCTAAAATAATCACTGCATGGATGTTTAATGTTGTTTATGCCTCTTTTAACCCTTAAATGCATGAATGTTTCGCCAATCATTATTACATATTCGGGTCTTTAGCGACCCGGACCTATATATCCAGCACGGATGGACCTCTAACTGCTGCAATAGCAAAAAAAAATTCTTGATATTTTAAGAACAATTACAGAAGAATAAAATAAAGCATATTTTGTTTCCTTTTTGAAACTTAAAAGGGTTCAATTTTTTATCCTTAAAAGGGATTTTACGATCGCCGTCATCATCCGAGTGCACTTCCACAGTACATTCAGCATCTGCCTCATATTCACGAGCTCAGCCATATTCTCAAAACTATCGTTTTCAATGACTTCATATTCAATATTTTGATCACTGGCAGCTTATTCACCACATCCAGCATCAAATGGCAGTGACATTTATATTTCATTGCATATAGTAATTGCTCTGCAGTAAAGCCATTCAAACCAGTTCAATTTTTGCTGATGATATTCGTTTGTTTTATGCCTGCGGTAATTATGAGTGAAACATCACGTCATCATTGTGTATCAAACAGTGCCACCTTGAGGAAAAAAGATGCATTGCACAAATTGAGTCATCAGATATGTAAATATAGTCGTGCAGGAAAAAATACTTAGACATATACAAACTAGAGATCGACCGATATGGGTTTTTCTATAGCCGATGCCGATGTTTAGAGGTCAGGGTCAGCCGATGGCCGATATGTGCTGCCGATTTTTAGGGCCGATATCTTGAAGTTTTCCCCTTCATTTGCATGCTAAAATGTCACACTAATAATAAATGGATGGACAACAGCACAGAGTGAAATTCTCCGACTCCGATACAGGAAAAATAAAACAGAACTTATAACATTGGGGCTAATATGTTAGCAAGCAAGCTGCTGATAGTTTTCGACAACAGTCCTTAAAGTTAACTGCAAGTAAGCGAACCTTTAACCAGCTGTAGCATTATGCCAGTTCCCGACGGTTCTATGCTATTCGTTTTTTCTTTCACTAAGTGAAGCAACACTTCATAGTTTACTAGTAATATATAGTAAATATATGGCCATAGGACTTTGAAATATCAGAATTTAAGCCTTGCCTTTATCTCCCAGGACTGTGGTTGAATTTTCCAAAAGTTTTGGCTTGGGGTCCTTCACATGCGACAGCAGCACTTTCCACCGCACCAATAACACGGGGCTGCCCGCGGACGTGCCTGACTTTAAATCGGCGCTACTAAACATGGATATCGGCCGATGCCGATATATTAAAAACTGACAAATATCGGCCCGATATATCGGTCGACCTCTAATACAAACCTCGGGTCTTTAGCGACACTATACACTTTTTACAACAAATTAATCTGAAAACTGGCGTTCTTTTATATTTGACTATTTCTTTTCTATATTTTACTATTTGTTTATAATGAATAGATTGAGGAACACTAAGAAAGTGGATGTCTAACTTTAAAACATGAAGGAGGGAGAGGGTAGAGAATGATGGCCCAGGTCGCTAAAGAGCTAAAAGGGTTAAATAACACAAACACTCTAAAATAACCTTGTTATAAAACAGGCCGGTAATAGCATAGTTTCACCATTAACAAGAACCAGTTAAATTTGCACTCTTTGAATAAAACATTTCCTGAACCTGCATGACAAAAAAACGCAGAAAGGACATTGACAGGCCCTTAACCCTGATAGATCACTGTCATTTACCACTAGGCCTACCATCCAGCAAAGAGCATCTCATTACAGAAAAAGCCTCTCCATAAAGGACCTAATTCTCTATGGAAATTAGACCGTCTCTCAGTCTTGACGCATGGTTTCCGAGTAACAATGTGGCTAAATGACCATCAACAAGTGTGTTGAGTTTATAGCAGCTGGCAGACAGATGACTGAGAGGTCAGCTTAGCACCATCTCAGTTTGAGATAGTGGTGGCAGGTCAGCGAGAGCAGCGGTTCAAAGCCGCAGAGTTTGACAGCCCGGCTTCATTACACACTGCTCTTTGACAGATGGTCCTGAAGCAGGTTTCTCCCAGACTTTTCTAACAATGCCCAGATGAACTTGAGCACTCTGGTCAGCTCTCACACACTTCTTTCAAATGCCAAAGGCTGAATATAGACCAATAAGGTCACAGCACCATCCTCACTTCTACATGTGCAGGTAACAACAGTGGATTTGCTGGAAGATCTCACCGACCGTAATTGACAGCAGTGGGACGATTTGAATTGGAAAAACACAATCACAGACCGTACTTCCTGCACTCCAAAATGCAACACCGTTGCATGTCTCAATGACTCACTTTACATATAAAAAAACATGCAAAACTATTTAGAGCTCCTTCAAATAATCTTGGCGATAAAGCTGTAGCCTGAGACAGAGGCATGTCTGACGTTTTCGCTAAATACTATCAAAGACCTTTAGTGTGGGGAGCCGAGTTCTTTTATACTAATCTGGCAGTGGTCTAATTGAGTTGCTCTTCTCCTGTAGTAGAGCCAGCAGCCGCCTGTGCGTTATCTCCTCTTTCAGGGCTTCCCTGACGCTGCAGGAGGGACTGCCAAGCACACAAAACCTCCATATTTAAACCGCATCCTCCAGGCCTACTTTCCGCTTCCTCATTTGACTTCATCGCTATCTGACTTTGCAGGTTGTCCATTTGCATAAAGAGACTCGACCCTGACCCCATGCTCTCTCTGCTTGCCTGCCTCCACATTCCTCATGCATTCATTTCCACCCCGTTGAGGCCCCCTGCCCCCCCCCCCCCCCCCCATCATTGAAAGGTGGTTATTGCGCCATCAAGCTCAATTACCTCGGCAGGCTTTCTAATATCACGCACCGACTGCGGTGTTCATTTTATACACATCCAGGGAATCATTTTGACAAACAAGGCCCGGTGCCAGACTATTGACTTAGTGTTATGAAGCATGCTGTATCACAAAGTGTTATTAAAGGGAAAAGAATAGTACAAAATACAGGTGATTTCCACTGAGTTTTAGATGGAGCTGGATGAAATAAATAAATAAATAAAGGAAGTACCTTCCAAATCAATCAGATGATAAAGGTCAATGTCTCTACATCAGTGTTTCCCAACCGGGGTGCCGTCTGTCGAGAGCAGTGGTGCAGTGTAAAAAATAATTTTTTTATATTTTTTAATGCTAAAATGTTCAAAAAAGCATATATTATATAATATCCATTTCTGATGTCGCCAATAATTAGAGATGCACCGAATTTCGGCTGCCGAAAATTAGTTCACCGCTCAGGTTTCACTTTCACGTGGTGTGACGCTCTGCGTATTATCCGCTCTATGCGTGTGCACCCCGCTCAGTCGCTCCACTCGTATACCGTTTATGCGAATCGGAACAGCAAAGTCCACTCAAAAATTGAGCCGACAGGAAACATCGATGTAGTACAGTAACAGTGTGTTGTAACATGGTGTGGTATATGGTCAACTCTGGTAACGCTGCCCTCTCATTCATTGATCTGCTAACCGCATGTTATGCTCACGTGTTCTGATAATAATTGCTTTCTAGGACTAAACATTATTTGGATAAATGGTAAAAAAAAAAATATTTTAATCTCTTAACCCTACTGTTAGACCTACCTGAAAAACTATAAAGCAATTTATTTAATTCGAAGGCCTGTCGTTATTTTTTATTTGTGCTATCATTATTAATTTCTTTATTTGTTCTTATTTTATTACTGACTGCTTGCCAGTCAGCTTGATTTCAAACTTTGAATTGAATAAAAAACATCTCGTGCTACTGCACCAAAATTACCCCACTGTAAAATAAAAAAAACACTGAGTGAGCAAAAATTTGTGAGATAGCTAGTTATAATGGTAATTAAATAATGTTTGCATATGTATAAAAGCCTACATTAAAATCTGTCATATAAATTGGTCTCTTCATTAGAAATTAGCCTACTGATTGCCACCATTGATGGACATTTTTTTAATATTAAAAATATCTGTATGACATTATATTCTGCAGTTCTTCCCTGTTGTACCGAATATCTATACTTTTCAAATTATCATATCGAAGGTAGAAATTCAAATATTGTGACAAAATTAATTTTGTAGGGTTCCACAAGTTTCTTAAAATTTCCAAAGGGTGCCGCGACTAAAAAAAAAAAAGGTTGGGAAACACTGCTCTACATCACTGCAGCTAAAACTGGCCAAACAATTTAGACACCACTAATGTCACTAGTGTTAAGAGGAAAGTTACTTTTTAAAATAATGCATTACAATATTGCATTACTTCATAAAACATAAACTAATTGGGTTACTCTTTATGGAAAGTAATGCAATACGTTACTTTTGAGTTACTTTTTATCACTTGGCCTGAGCGTGTTTATTTGTTTTTATCAAACGGATAGTTCCGGTCCTTGATTCTGATTGGCTGAGCCATGTTCGAAGCTGTTGTAAATTACTCTACAAACATACACCTTTGTTTATGTTTGTGTTACTCTGCAACCACTTTGTTGCAACCACAACTAATTCTGAGGAACTACATTGTTTGGTGGAAGAATAATGTTTTTTTATTATTATCATTACACTTTATTTGCTCCGTTTTCTTTTGTGAAACCTTACTACATATATGGAATAACCGTTTTAAGTGGTTATTCACTTCACCGCTTCGCATCGTGACTAACAATGCCCCTTAGCTGTTATAAATTCACTGTAAACCACAGCTTCTTGGGGCTTATTGCTTTATTAAATAACAAAACCCCGAAAGTTATACTTTGGCAACTGTAAAGGCCCTTTTACACCATAAGTGAAATTAATAAGCCTCCGGCTAAAGGAAATCTCTCTCCCTCTGCACCTCACTCCCAATTTCTCTCAATATGGGACATGAGAGGTGTCAGTGAATAAATGGAAAAACAAAGTAACTTGCATTACTTATTTGAAAAAGTAACTCAATATTTTGTTGTAAATTTAAAAGTAATGCATTACTTCACTTGTAAAAAAAACGTGTTACTTGTAATGCGTTACCCCCAACACTGAATGTCACTAATGTTTAAAGGTATAGTTCATCCATAAATTACATTTTGCATTGTTCTCACACAAGGCAAATCATATGGATTTGTAATATTTGTGATGAGTCATAAGAATTACTCATTACATTTTTTTAAATATATTTTTGGAGATTCATTTTTCAGGGAACAAAGAAAGTCATTCAGGTTTGGAACAAAATAAAACGGAGTAAAGAATTTTAATTTTAACCCTCCTGCTGTGTTAATAAAACGCATGTTTCATTTGTGTTAGGGGTCAAATTGACATCACAAAAATAGATGCACAGACACAAAATAAAAACATTAGTTTGACAGACTAGCAATTGAGATCCAAAAAAAAATTTAACTACCAAACACACTTTTTTTTTTACTGTGAAAGTCAAATAGATGAAGAAACAAAATTATCCTTGGATAATTCAGAAGACAAGTCTGCCTAAATTTCTTATATATTTGGTATTTTATAGTTTTCAGTTTTTAACCTGACTCTTTTCTGTTTTTCAAAATGATTTTTACATGGAAACCAATGAGGATCAATTTGAGCCCTAACATCATTGTAGGCACAAAGTGTTATGAATCCTATGACACCAACTCTGCATGTCAACAATTGTCAGGTCAAAAGGAGGTCAGTTCAGACATAAGTGCACACAATGAGTCATGTGATTACCTTCAACCTCGATGGAGTCAACAATACTGATGGAGCTGGTGATGCTGTAAAGGCCAGGGCATACAATGACCACATCCCCCTCATAGCACGCACTGACCGCAAGCACTGGGTCACTGTGAAACTGGGATCAGAACACACACCACATTAGTACTACAACTCAAATCATCTTCGTCCTGAAGTAAAACCAACAAAAACTGATTTTCAAATCAGTGAGCGGGGAAGAAAAAAAACAAAAAAAAAACACAAAAATGTAAGTGAATACATCTCTGTGGGGTTGAGTAGAGGCATCCGATCACACACATCTGCACCCTTTTAACAAGTACTTGAGGGATAAACTGGCTCACAGAACAAGAGAGATCAAACATGAGCTAGTGCATGAACAGTGCTTTAACAAATCTTTACAAATCCTGCATCACAGCACCTTGAGGCATTAGTGATCAGACCGTCCTAACAACTTTCCGCACAAACAGCTCTTTAATCTTACCATCCGAACAGAAGATGGGAGAGGCGAGCGAGCACATGTGAGATTTTACTGGCAAAATTATTCACCGAGTCCTACCAGTCATAAAATTATACTAGCACGAGTGAAATCGTTGATTAGATTTTTTTTCTAGTAATTCATGCAAAAGGAGGCCCAACCAAGTATTGAGTACACGTAAAGTAAATGAACATACTTTCCAGAAGGCGAACAATTCACTAAATTATTTTTTTATTGGTCTTATGAATCAGGTGTTTTTTAGCAAACTCCATGCGGGCTTTCATGTGTCTTGCACTGAGGAGAGGCTTCCGTCGGGCCACTCTGCCCTAAAGCCCCGACTGGTGGAGGGCTGCAGTGATGGTTGACTTTCTACAACTTTCTCCCATCTCCCGACTGCATCTCTGGAGCTCAGCCACAGTGATCTTTGGGTTCTTCTTTACCTCTCTCACCAAGGCTCTTCTCCCCCGATAGCTCAGTTTGCCGGACGGCCAGCTCTAGGAAGGGTTCTGGTCGTCCCAAACGTCTTCCATTTAAGGATTATGGAGGCCACTGTGGAACTCTTGATGCAGTAATTCAGGCAAAAGGAGGCCCAACCAAGTATTGAGTACACGTACAGTAAATGAACATACTTTCCAGAAGGCGAACAATTCACTAAATTATTTTTTTTATTGTATGTATGTATGTATATATATATATATATATATACACACACACACACACACTACCGCTCAAAAGTTTGGGATCAGTAAGACTTGTAATGTTTTTTTTTTGTTTTTTTTAAAGAAGTCTCTTATGATCATCAAGGCTGCATTTGTTTGATCAAAAATACAGAAAAAAAAAACGTAATCTTGCAAGATGTTATTACAATATAAAATTAAGGTTTTTATCTTAATATACTTAAAAATATAATTTATTTTTGTGATGCAAAGCTGAATTTCCATCAGCCATTACTCCAGTATAAAGTGTCACATGATCATTCCGAATTCATTCTAATATGCTGATTTATGAATAGAATTATCAATGTTGGCAACAGTTGTGCAGCCAAATATTTTTTGGGGGAAACGGCGATACTTCTTCAGGATTCTTTGATGAATAAAAAGTAAAAAAGAATGGCATTTATTCAAAATATAAATCTTTTCTAACAATATAAATCTTTGCTTAAATTTAACAAAAAATCCTTGCTGAATAAAAGTTTTAATTTCTTTCAAAAAAATAATAAAAATGTACAGACCCCAAACTTTTGAACGGTAGTGTATATTGTTAGAAAAGATTTCTATTTTAAATAAATGGTCTTGTTTTTAACTTTTTATTCATCACAGAAATAAATTACATTTTAAAGTATATTAAAATAGAATCCATTATTTTATATTGTAATAACATTTTTCAAGATTAGAAAACACACTAAATGCGCACACGCACTAGTCTAGGCTTCACGTAATGCATGCGTGCGCTCTGTAGGGATGTTTTGAATGGTTTTTGCAAAATACTCGATAATGTCAAATCGCACATCGTTAAAACAACAATTACGATATTATCGCAGACGATATATATCGCACACCCCTAGCGCCTTCACGAAATGGCGGCGGCAACAACAATACTACAGTGAGAATAAAAGTTACGCCTTCTTTCTTTGCGTGAACATTTGGGCCGCGTTATGCAAATCTTCCCACAGAGTGACGTAGACATGTGGGGGCGTGTTAGAACGAGTCGTTTTAGGTAGGCATGGTTGACTCTTAACTTTTATAAAGACTTTAGTCTTTGCAACTTCACAGATCTTCTTTATGCACCAAGAGCTTGTAACACTCCAAAGAGAAAGGAAAACTTGAAATCGCATCATATGACCCCTTTAAAAAACTTTTTTCTCAAAGTCTTACTGATCCCAAACTTTTGAGCAGTAGTGTACATATACACACACATATATATAAAGAACTTGATATTATTTTCAGCATGGATGATGCATAAAATGTAGTAAAGATATTTAGAAAGCTATAAACTATTTCGAATGCCAAGTTCAAAAGAACAGCATGTATTCAAAGAAGCCTGGGGAAAAAATTAACACAGCTTCCACAAAAATATTAACCTCTTTCAACATACACAATAATACATGAAGAAAGAAATGTTTCCTGCGCACCAAATCAGCAGCATATTTAAAAAAAATCGCGTTATGCAAATCTTCCCACATAGTGATGTAGACATGTGGGGGCGTGTTAGAACGAGTCGTTTTAGGTAGGCGTGGTTGACTCTTAACTTTTATAAAGACTTTAGTCTTTGCAACTTCACAGATCTTCTTTATGCACCAAGAGCTTGTAACACTCCAAAGAGAAAGGAAAACTTGAAATCGCATCATATGACCCCTTTAAAAAACTTTTTTCTCAAAGTCTTACTGATCCCAAACTTTTGAGCAGTAGTGTACATATACACACACATACATATAAAGAACTTGATATTATTTTCAGCATGGATGATGCATAAAATGTAGTAAAGATATTTAGAAAGCTATAAACTATTTCTATTTCGAATGCCAAGTTCAAAAGAACAGCATGTATTCAAAGAAGCCTGCGGAAAAAATTAACACAGCTTCCACAAAAATATTAACCTCTTTCAACATACACAATAATACATGAAGAAAGAAATGTTTCCTGAGCACCAAATCAGCAGCATATTAAAAAAAAAATTTAAAAGATCATGTGACACAGTAGACTGGAGTAATGGCTGCTGAAAATTCAGCTTTGCCATCACAAGAATAAAATACTTTATATTAAAATAGAAAACGGTTATATTAAATTGCACATATTTCACAATATTACTGTATTTTTGGTCAAACAGACCTTTCAAATGTAGTATGTGTATATATGTATTTCAAACTAATTTTCAGATTTACTCATTTATAAATACTACCATTGTTCATTGTTATTTCGTGTTCGTTGGACTACCAACATAAACTGAATAGCACGGCTGCTTCAAAATAGGAAAAATATATACCTTTAAAATGGTTAACTAACCTGAGGTGCTCCAGGGCCAAAGCAGTCTGATCAAAGTCCCTGGATTCATCATAGACAACCGAGAGCTCCAGAAGAGGCACTTTATGAAGTGTAGCCTCCAGCAGGACCTTCATGGACTCTTCAGTAAGATCGCAGCCTCTGGTCTCACACTCCATCGGCAGCACCAGCTCCACCTTTGCCTTGAGCTCCTTACAATCGACATCAACAACCTACAACAGCAACCCTCAGCTTAATAATAATAATTCCCTTGTGCAGATGCTTCAATCATAAGCATTAACTTATCATGTTTTAACTGTAAATACCCAAAAAGCATGTTATAATGAACTTACTTCAACCAGCACATCAAACACATCCGTGTGCCATATGGCTTGCCAATCACATGGCTCCACTATCTTCTCCGTAGACATGTGGGGGCGTGTTAGAACGAGTCGTTTTAGGTAGGCGTGGTTGACTCTTAACTTTTATAAAGACTTTAGTCTTTGCAACTTCACAGATCTTCTTTATGCACCAAGAGCTTGTAACACTCCAAAGAGAAAGGAAAACTTGAAATCGCATCATATGACCCCTTTAAAAAACTTTTTTCTCAAAGTCTTACTGATCCCAAACTTTTGAGCAGTAGTGTACATATACACACACATATATATAAAGAACTTGATATTATTTTCAGCATGGATGATGCATAAAATGTAGTAAAGATATTTAGAAAGCTATAAACTATTTCTATTTCGAATGCCAAGTTCAAAAGAACAGCATGTATTCAAAGAAGCCTGGGGAAAAAATTAACACAGCTTCCACAAAAATATTAACCTCTTTCAACATACACAATAATACATGAAGAAAGAAATGTTTCCTGAGCACCAAATCAGCAGCATATTAAAAAAAAAATTTAAAAGATCATGTGACACAGTAGACTGGAGTAATGGCTGCTGAAAATTCAGCTTTGCCATCACAAGAATAAAATACTTTATATTAAAATAGAAAACGGTTATATTAAATTGCACATATTTCACAATATTACTATATTTTTGGTCAGACCTTTCAAATGTAGTATGTGTATATATGTATTTCAAACTAATTTTCAGATTTACTCATTTATAAATACTACCATTGTTCATTGTTATTTCGTGTTCGTTGGTCTACCAACATAAACTGAATAGCACGGCTGCTTCAAAATAGGAAAAATATATACCTTTAAAATGGTTAACTAACCTGAGGTGCTCCAGGGCCAAAGCAGTCTGATCAAAGTCCCTGGATTCATCATAGACAACCGAGAGCTCCAGAAGAGGCACTTTATGAAGTGTAGCCTCCAGCAGGACCTTCATGGACTCTTCAGTAAGATCGCAGCCTCTGGTCTCACACTCCATCGGCAGCACCAGCTCCACCTTTGCCTTGAGCTCCTTACAATCGACATCAACAACCTACAACAGCAACCCTCAGCTTAATAATAATAATTCCCTTGTGCAGATGCTTCAATCATAAGCATTAACTTATCATGTTTTAACTGTAAATACCCAAAAAGCATGTTATAATGAACTTACTTCAACCAGCACATCAAACACATCCGTGTGCCATATGGCTTGCCAATCACATGGCTCCACTATCTTCTCCAGGTACTCGGCCGTGAAGGCTTCTACTTCAGATGTTTTACAGTCACCTGTCAAACAATTCAGGTTTAAAAACACACTTATTAACTCGTCTGCTGTTGTGGGTGTCTGTCAGAAGTGTTTGGATGGTTACCAAGCACGTAATCTTGATATGCTTTGAATCTCTCATAGTACAGAAGATGGTCTGTCTGGAAGGTGTCCGGCACTTTTCCATTTGCTGGCCTCTCTGCTCGCTGCAGATGAGTACATGGCCTCTCATCACTATTCAGATAATGGGTGCCACTGTCATCATCATCTTCTTCTTCTTCTTTGGTCCGAAATAAATCTGAAAACAATATACATCTCATCAGCAATGCCAGTTCAATAAAGTGGCCTACAGACAATTTGGTATTATCAGGACAATTTGATATTTAATTAATTAAAAAACAGCAATGTCAAAGTCAAAAGTGTGACATTAGATTCATATTTGTATTTAATGGGAGTGAATGACATACAAAGTAAGTTAATTTGATATAAAGGAAAAGGTCACACAGAAATCACAGAAACATCACAAACCTTTAGAAAGCCGGCTGTGGTTTGGTCTGATCTCACTACAGACGGTCTCGGTCTGGCCTTCTGTCTGCTGGTTGACATTATGGTCTTCGCTGGTCAGTTTGATGGTGATTTCTACGCTGTTTTCTGTCTCGGCGTTTCTCACCTCCTCCGGCATTGAGCACACAAGCTCCCCAGACATCACTGAAGCTTAAAACTTTACTCTAGCTAAAGTAAACGAGGGACAGGTATGAATAAAAGTGTTTAGTTAACCAAGTCATCAACTAACTGTCGGTCTCCTCCCTTCACTTGTATTTTCAAACGCTGCCTGGGCGGAGCCGAAGAGCCCAATAAAGCGACGGCGCGGAGCAAACCGACACACTCTTAAAGAGACACTGCACACTTGTTAACAAGCTATGGTTATGACTGGATCTTATCTCTTGTGACAGATCTGTCGCTACTATCTTTGTTTCATCGTGACTTTATAGCGGATAGAGAGGGAGAAGTACAACATACTGCAGCATATATATTTTTTGAATATATAAAATATTTTAACTAACGTTAGTGAATTTGAGTGCACGTTTAGCCTTAGACTAACATGCATATAAATGTATCTGCATACTTTATTATTGTGCTCGCATGGCAAGTAATTAAAATAATCTATTGATATTGATTCAGAGAGTCATATACTTGTACATTTGAACGCATTTCAAAACATTGCTGAAATTTAGCTTTGTGACTATATCTTTCTTAGGTTAAGGTTAGCTTGATTTTGTATTCATTCATTCATTCATTCATTCATTTATTATATGAGAAACAAATCATCTTCTCGGTATTATTTATTGTTATTTTAGCCTGAAAATCTGTGTTGAATGATGCCGTGCTCGATTACTCCTGTCTGACTCGGAATCGGTGATCAACTCGTCTGTCCTGTCAGCACGTGTGATTTCAGAGCAGCGGTGTTTTTATGGATCCTGTGTGTTTTGAACTATGGAAAGTAAGTTTGGTGATGAGTTTGTATTGCTCGCAATCCGACTAACATTATGTTGTTTAATAAGTTGTGTAGCGATCGTCTTGGATCCTGTGTCCATGCTAAACTCAACATTACTCACTCTTTGCCAAAAGAGAACAAAATGAACAACATATGTATGGTTCCTAACACTTTTTTGTTTGTTTTTTACTCACTCTTTTTACTTTCTCAGGTGTGGTGCAATCCCGAATCCCATCTGAGCAAAGCGATATTTTGGGAGTTGAGGTGACTCGCTTCGATTATCAGTAGCATTAGTTTCCTAATTCGTGCAGTTCCATCGTGTAGAAATATTGGTAATTCTCTTAAATCTGCATCTATGTAAAGTGTTACCGAGTCTAGTTCTTTTTATATTGGGGATCTCTGAATGGCCTGAGGCTGAAGGTCTGCTTAGGGGCTCCCTGGATCTGTAAAGATTTGAAATCATGGAACAGTCCAATAATGCAGATGAACTCGCACTGAATGATGTACAGAAACTTTACAAACTTGTCGATATGTTGCTGAATGTTGTTTTTTACAGTCTCAACATGGAACGGCTGCGGATGCTTTGACCAAAGCATTCCTAAAGAATAGCCTTCCCCAAATGAAGGATGGACACATTGAGGAAATGATGTTGCACAAGGCAGTGGTACTGGAATATAAAAGACCGACGAAGAAGAAGGGAAAGACAAGAAAGGCCAAGGGACTGAATGCCAAAGAAAGAAGACAGCTTAAAATATTCCAGCTCAAACCTGAACATCAAAAGTATTTATTAGATGTTTCATTTCAAATCAACGTTTATACTCTCTTTCACACTGTAGTATTGTATCATGCACTATATTACGTCAGTAAAAGTCACTAAAATCACTCATGCATCTTTGTCTGTGGTTATGATTGTAGGTATGAACTCTTCTTGCCTCTGCATGAGCTATGGAAACAGTACATTGTGGATCTATGTAATGGATTGAAACCAGGAAGGTAAGATGTGTGTCATAATTTCAGGAAGATGCTCTTCAGAATTTCTGGCTTTTTGGGGTGTAATTTCATTTCCAGTCTTGCTAACGCTCCATGAGTGTGCTGCCTGTTTCTTTTTGGATACAGCAACCCACAGATGATCCAGCAGAAGTTCTTGAAAGCTGATTTCCATGGTGCTGTCTTAACAGGTACAACGTCATGCACATTTAAAGGGGTCATATGATGCGATTTCAAGTTTTCCTTTCTCTTTGGAGTGTTACAAGCTCTTGGTGCATAAAGAAGATCTGTGAAGTTGCAAAGACTAAAGTCTCGAATCCAAAGAGATATTCTTTATAAAAGGTCAACCACGCCCCCCTAAAACAGCTCGTTCTAACACTCCCCCACATGTCTACGTCACTATGTGGAAATATTAGCATAATGTCGCCCAAATGTGCACGCAAAGAAAGAAGGCGTGGTTTCAGGGACAGCAGTAGTGTTGATGCAGCCATGTCAGGGAGACGCTGTGTTTCAGTGCGAAAAGCACTTTATTTGGCCTTCCGGAAGTAGATGCAATTAGGAATCATTGGTTAAGATTTATTTACAACAGAACAGCACAACCCAGATGTTCGAATTTGTGCAACGCATTTTATGGACAACAGTTTTTTTTTACCTAGAAGAGTACAAGGCTGGCTGTGCACAAAGGCTATTTCTAAAAATAAAAAAAGTGTCAATTCCGACTTTGCTATGACAATCTGGCGCTTCTAAATCAGCGACTGTAAGTATGTTTTGTTATTAGTTTAAGTATTTGCTATTGATTGTTCATATGCTAAGTTTTGTGCAGCGCAGATTAACGCGTCGTGTGTGTGTGTGTGTGTGTGTGTGTGTGTGTGTGTGTGTGAGGGGAACAGGGTCACATCACAGGAGAGTGAACTGCCTGTCAGAAATCATAGCATGTCAGCTGTCTTAACCGCGGCTTGTGTACTGCATCATCACTGTGTCTGTCACGCGACTCTGTTGCCCTTTCAGGCTTGAACTGATGGTAAAACTAACAACATTATTAACTGTCTTGATATTTACTATGAAAGCTGAAGCTAGCGATTATGGTAAGGGGCGTTACATTTCCGACACGTGCTTGTGGTGTTCGGCCAATCACAATGCACTGGGTCAGCTGGCCAATCAGAGCAGACTGCACTTGTTAAAGGAGGGGGCTTTGTTGAAAACGGTTAGTTTGAGAGAGGCGGGGCATAGAGGGCCTACAATAATGTGTTTTTTTTTTACATTAAAGCATGTCAACATATTTTGTTACACCAAATACACAAAATAATGATTTTTAAAATAGCATCATAAGACCCCTTTAAAAATGTCTGTGCACAAAGGAACACTTTTTTTTTTTTTTTTGCTTTAGCAGCAGTATATCCGGATTTTCGAAATAATGCATGTAGTGGAACCTCATGTTCGCTCATCTCTTTTCCTTGTAGTTGTCCGATCAAAATGCCCCTCATATGTGGGTCTAACTGGCATCTTGGTACAGGAACTGAAGCACGTCTTCAAAATCATTACAAAAGAGGACAAACTAAAAGGTATGTGTGTAAATATAGATTATTTTTACAGGTTTCACATCATTTCACTACTGTAAGTGAGGATGTCAGTACTCAAAGATGCCAAACCAAGCTTTTGTCTAGAGGAAGGTGGAGCCAGTGAGTGCAAAAAAAAAGAAATATGAGAAATTAGCAGTTGACTATAAAGTTTTTACTGTGGCTTTATGCATTGTGGTAATCATGTCAAAATAACATCATGTAAAATTGTATTATTTTATCATTGTCCAGACTAAGGGTGTCGCAGTATACTAGTATTGAGGACAACCCTGATATTTCAAATCACTTCATTCAAAAATGACAATTTACACATTTATTACAAGTAACTCTCTGGTTGACATGTCAAAGATTAATTTGATTGATAGCATTCTATAGATATCACAATAATATCATTATCATGAATTTGTTGTTGGCCATGATAATAGTGCAGTGACAATCTGATATTGTGACAGCCCTATTCCAAACCGAAAGTGAGTCCTCTCCCTGTCACGAAAACACTTCTAACTTCTTCCTCATCACAGTCATTAACCACCTTTCAGAACCCCTTGTGCCAAATGAACCTGAGAACAAAGTCTTGTCAAAATATATTGTGTGGAAAGATCTGTTCTTCCATTTTGTTTGACCGTTGATTCACTTTAACCTCTCAAACAGTGTTGCTCAGTCATTGTAGAGCATATGTTCTTCTTTAATTCCCTTTGAATATTGACATTTCCCCTACTCTCTTTTTCTTCAGTTATACCGAAGAGGAATAGTGTGTTCAGTGTGGAGATCGGTGATTTCGTAACGCACATCTATGGCAGCAAGTTTGAACTGCGCTCTAGTGAGCGGTCGGCAAAGAAATTCAAAGTAAAAGGAACTATTGACTTGTAATGGGAAGTTTTAAACATCATGTCAGCTTTAACTGTTGGCTCATACTGGGGAATTAAGAGACAACATTTAATCATTATGGATTTCTTAGCTGCTTCCTCTTTATTTATTTTTTTATGCTTTAAATCTGACCTGGCTTGAAACTACAGTATATTGGGCATTTAGGAAAAGTAGTAGTTTTTGATTGTCCACCAGGAGGAGCCCTTTTTGGAAGAGAAGAGAGGAAGAATGAAGAATTTTAACCTCCTCAGTTCTCTCTCTCTCTCTCTCTCGCTCTCTCTCTCTCATCCCTGGTTCCTGTCACTTCATTTTTATACAAGGTTCCCACAAACTCTTTATTTATGACCTTAGTATATCCTCAAAGGTAGTCAGCACTGCTAATGCTAAAAATAAAAAATACTACCAATAAATATCATACTTCCCTAAGAACATCTTAAAAAATCTTTTGTTAATGTTGTGTTACACGGTATGATAGCAGATCCACAATAATACAATAGTACAATCATTTAAGCCAAGTACTGTTAAAAGCAGTGTTTTCAGACTTGTACTTGAACAAGCACCACTTCAGATCTCCAGTTCAAACGGCACTAAGTAAAATTGGAACAAGTTATGTTGTTTTGTTTCACTGAAGTATATGTTGTGATATTTGCCTGCTTACAAAACAAGGATTTTTTTTTCCCACCGTGAAACAGGGCCTGATACTTAGTCAAGGTTTTTTCCTTGTTGGGTGACTCATAAACGCCTCTTCCTGTAATGGCAGGGAAATCCATCCTTCCTATACAAGACACAGAACAGGTTTTCTAATGAAATATGTAAGAGTTTCTGTTTATTGCTTAGTGCTAAATATCAAATAATGTCGATTTTTTTAATTTTTTTATTCTGAGAGCATAGTACATATTTTGAACAGTTTGAGTTAAAGGAAGCTGAGAAACATTGACTGCTTATGTACTGAAATATGACAACCATGGATGTTACCATTCTTGCAGTTAAACATAAAGTCTATTCATCATTCTGCTGCGCAATGTCTTTTATGAGAAAAGAGGTGCCTTACATTTATATGTTGTCTCCTCTGAAATCACTGTGTCAGTGTTGCATCATATGGATCCTCCATATACTTCCTCTAAATCACTTTTTTTATTTCTACAAGAAACATTATAGCCTATTAACTGTCACACATAAAGTTTCAGATTGTGCTGTGCATTAAACGGATAGACCTTGCTCATAAAACAAGCCTGTTGTTTACAGTCACTTTGCAGAAATGTCTGTCCAAAAACTCGTTTGGCTGGTTTCGGCATCCGACTGGTTTAAGGGTCAAAGTTCTGTTGTTGTTTTGACTCTATTGCTTAGAAAATCAGATAATAGAGTTCTCTGCTATCTAATCCGATACTGTTTATCAGAGAAACAACAAATATAGACTTAATTGTTCACTTCACGTCATTCGAGGTGTGTATGAATAAAAAAAAAAAATCATCATATAGTTATTTGAAAAAGACCACATTCATTTACAATAAAATCTGAACAGGAATTTTAGATGGAATGAATCATGCTTGTAGTTTTCCACTTCATTTCTGCTTTATTTGTCTTGGTTGGGCAACAGAATGACTGTGATGTGGAATATAAATGAAACAGCTGGGACACAAGCGCACATGTACAGGATTGTAATTATTTCTAATATAGATTTTTAATATACCGTACCATAAAAATGGCTTCCATATCTACGTGGCAGCCTCGTGCAGAATGTAGTAGTTGTTGTTTTGACAGTTTTATGTGTTAAGTTTCATGCATCACTATTTTACTGTTAAAAGCTAAAAGTATTCTGGATTTTTTAGTTCTTTATCTACAGCATCTAAATCTACCCCCCTTTTTTTCAGTATACCTTGTGTATTTTTTTAGCCAGCTGTTAAGTATCTCAATATCTATGTTCCTTAGTTTTCCACATTGCCTGTTGAAATTATCCAGTTGCCCTTAATTTCCACTTATTCAAGCAAATAGTTTCCCCCTCTTTAGTGTTATGTGTAAAAGTGATATATCCTTCCCTGTTACAGGTATGAGGAACATATCTGTTTTTATGTTGTTGCTTTGAAGTCTTGTCAGTGACTCTTCTAGGACAGGAGTTATGCTTGAGTGTTATTTTAGTATTGCTATTAAAGTATTTATTCAAATCATAGCTTTTTACATTTTCAGTTCCCATCTTAATTTTAGTTTGAGTGATTTTTATGATGTGCTTTTTGTTTCTATTTGGATTTAATCTTTTTTTTTTGTTTCAGCTTTTAGAAATGTTGGTACTTAAACTTTTAGTTTGTTGCCAAGGCAGCTTGTTTTTAAGTTTTGTGTACATTTTTCATCTAATATTTATATATTTTTATTTCAGCTTTGAATCAATTAATTAACCTGATTTGTGAAATAAATTAGGCAGGTGTGCAAAAAATACAGCACTCATAATACCGGTATTATCATAAGTATTACTTTCAATTTGACAAACAAGAGTTCTAAAAAATGTCTTGACCGCATATATTACCTCTTCACTCAGGACTCTAGAGAATTAATCTGACGTGACATTAGGTCAAAACATTTTATTTTGTACCTATATGTCTTGAGTGGGTTTCTTGGTTAGTGCCAGTCAAGCACACGGAAGGTTACACCTCTAAAATAGTAGAGGCACTACTGAGCACATCTGGAATTTCCCTTTATCAAACAGGAAAGACAAGCTCATGACACTATAAAAGGGCCGTCTCAAACAACCTGCCCAGAGTGAGAAGAGATTTGTAGTGCTGAAGACTCAGAGAGATATTTTCATAACAATTTTTACTGGAGCTTGAAGGACAAAGGGACTGCGAACAGCTACAGGGTCTGTTTACCCAACGATAATTCACTGCTTTCCACAGCAATCAGGTATTGTTGAATTAATATTTAAGATGTTTACACATTTACTTTGTGTCTGTATATTTGTATAATTTTGTTAATTCAAGTAATCGGGTGAAAGTCCTTTGAAATTACTGCTAAAAATTAATAAGTCCATCAAAATCGACTTGACCTTATCATTGTTTTTATATTTTATAGGCAGTACCAAAATGGCAGAGCAACAGACCTTTTCTATTCAGAACCGTGAGCGAATCCAGGCAGTGGAGAGCACCTTTGGCCGCACTAGAAAGATGCTTCTAAAACTGGGGCGTATTCTGGTGGGAGAGGGCTGCTTGTTAAAGCTGTGCAGACGTGGACCCAAACCCAAAGTGTTCTTCCTCTTCAACGACATTTTGGTCTACGGTAGCATCATGGTGGCCGGTCGCTGGAACAATAAGCAGAAGATCATTCCTTTGGAGGATGTGCAGCTGGAAAATCTGGAAGACGGAATGGCCATGCCCAACCAATGGCTCATCCGCACGCCACGCAAGTCTTTCTACGTGTCGGCGGCCTCGCCTGAGGAAAAATAATTTATATTTTATTTTTTATATATATATATATATATATATATATATATATATATATATATATATTTGTTAAGGGAACAATGTGACTTTTGCAATCAGTACAATAAATTATTATTCTAAAATACTTTGGTGAATGTATTAAACACACACCATTCTTTGTGACTGTACATGTTTATTTATAAACTGAAGAAATAATTAAAACGGTCCTAAATTCTAACAGTGTGGATTATATTAAATTCGGTATGTTCAACAGAAGCATTCTCACTTCTAAGACCTGTGGCGATTAAGTTATCAAAGAAAGTATTACCAAGTTGCATGACTGATCATGTATTTTACAGTGGACCCTTTTCACAGACTGATTTCCACAATAACCAATTTAATAAAGTTAGTTAAATTGAATCATAAAGTTGTTATTATTATTATTATATTTTCATTAAAAAGTAGAATGATATACATTATACTCTATATTATTATATTATGTTACCCTTGCATTAAAATCAAAACAAAATAGACACACACACACAATTCTACAGAACATACAGTTACATTTTCTGTTATATTGTAACACTAGCATGTACAGAATTAGAGATAATCTAAATTGATATTAATGGAAATAAATGGATAAAACATTAAAAAATCTTGAAAATAGACCATGTTCTTTTTCAGGAAATAATTGTAGAATTTTAATCCAGGTGACACACATGACTGATCATGTATCTTCAATAAGTCCCGTCATTTACATGGTTTTGAGAGTGACTTTGGATGTGAAGAAGAAGAACTCAGTTCTGAGAGTTTGTTTGGTTTAAACTTTTATAATTTAAAAGTTAAAATTAAAAGATGCATTACTAAGTGCGTGAACATTTTTTTTTTTAATTCTTTTTTTTTACAGATTTAAAAACTAAAGGGCAGGGATATTGTGCACTTCAAAAGGAGTCGAAATATCATGATTGTGAGTTATAAGCACACAAATTACCAAGCAAATCATACTTACAAGTGGAAAACTCTGAAGATAATACACGAGTCGATATATGAAACATGGTGGAAACACTTATCTATTAGTAGCTTATAATGTAATTTATCTAATATATAGAGATGTGTACTCTAGGAGGAAACCCCAGGTTCATAGAGTCATTCAGGTTCCAGGCCAGTTGCACAAACATAGACACTATGTTAAGACTGTGTCTTAAAAACTAGTTTGACCAACTAGTAGTTAGCCAAGGGGTAATCAGTCTTACTTTTTGGATTCACATTAGACCAATCTACCTTTTTGTAACTGACTTTAAACTAACTAACTGACTAAAAAAAGTCTTGAAGAAAATAAATTAGATAACTAACTTTTTAAAGGGGTCATAGGATGTTGCTAAAAATCTATGAGAGTAAAACAAACATGCACAGACAAATCCAAATTAAACCCTGCGGCTCGTGACAATACATTGATGTCCTAAGACACACGAAACGGATCGGTTTGTGCCAGAAACCGAACAGTATTTATATCATTTTTTACCTCTAATACACCACTATGTGCATGAGGTGTGTACGCGCTCAATACAAATTCCTTGTATGTGCAAACATACTTGGCAATAAAGCTCTTTCTGATTCTGAGAGGAGAAGGGTGTTAATCCCTCAACTTGCACAGATCGCCTCACATATATTTGTGATAACATACATAGATAAGTAATAGGAATGAATATTTTTCATTATTTTGAATAGATGTAATTATTTGGGTTTAATGTTCACAATATAATAATTTTGTTTAGGTCTGTGACTTCAGTGCCGTTTCTCAGGTGCACATGAGGCAACAACAACAACAACTAAAAACATTTTAGCATAAAACTGTTCTTCAGAAGGATACGGTTCTAAATAGAACTAGTAAAGAACCTCTACAGAACCATGTAGAGTGTACGACTGGTTGAACAAGGCAAATTGATTGTATGGCTTACAAAACAAAACTAACATTTATCTCTGTTAAACAATCACTTAGTCTCAGGCGATTACTCTGAAAATAATCAGAGGAACATCAATTTAGCATAATTTTACCAAGGCAAGAGAGCTGAAGAGGGAAAGACTCCTAAGTGAGTTGTAAACTGCACATGCAGGCTGAAGCAGTTTTCCCTCTCATGAGAACTGTACACGACACATATGATAGCGGGAAGAGAGTTAATAACTCTAAAACCTTTTCCGTTTTGCTAAATGTCCAACAGAATTTCCATGACAGAATTTTGGCACATAACAATGTATCTCCAGTAACTAACAAAACCAGTTCAGCAGCTGAGATCAACTTTCACATACCTCACTTGTTATTAGACCGATGAAAATAGAGCAGGAAACCCACAAATTGTGTTAAAACGCAACCCACTTGATCAGAGACTAATTACCAAAGAAAGCTGTCAGCAAACTGAGCAAAATTATAAAAAAGAGACACATTGTGAGTTTCAGTCCACTGCAGTGTCTTATGGTACAGAAACTCCATGAGCTTGATTCTGGGAATTGGAGTGAAGCAAAGTTCATTCTAAAGTTGAAAGATTATTTGTCTCATGCTTAACAGAGTGGTAGTGAACAAGCTTAATTTATTTGCATTACAGGCATGACATTAAATGCACATATAATGTGACTATGCACAATATATGAAAAATGATATTATGAACTATACTGAAATTGTATTTTACATTGAAAACACTTAAATTTGAAATGTTTTAGGGTTTTGCTGCCCTTAAAGGCATAAAAAACGTTGTCATTGTTTACTCACCCTCATGTTGTAACAAACCTGTTTGACTTTTTTTCTTCTGCAGAACAAAACAGAAGATATTCTGAGGAAACTGTTTTGATGACCACTGACTTAAATTGTATGGAGGAAAAAAAAGCAAACACACACAGACACGATAAACTTGACATTTCTCTAAATATCTTTTATGTTCCACAGAAGAAAGAAAGTCATTTGGGTTTGAAATTTCATGAAAGTAGGTAAAATAATGACTATATTTTTCTTTTTTGGAGAATATTTTTCTTTTTTGGTGAAGTATTTTTTAAGGTCATCATTGAGTGCACATGTACCTGAAAGGGTTTTAAGTCTTTTCATGCTGCTGTCTTTTCATGTTTACCGCCAGCATGCTATGTTGTACTATTCAGCGGACAATCGGCAAATGCGTACACATCTCGAAATGAGGAAGCAGTTACATTTTTCTTGGCAAACAACTGACGTTATACAACCTTGACAGTCATCTTGTAGTAAAAATAAATGATAATTCACGGTGTTCTTCTTTTAACTGTTTGAAGTATTTCATTTGATAAACTGGTGTTTGCACTTATTTGTAGAACACAGTGAATTTCTTCTGGTTTAGTTCTCATGGGGTGTGAGTGTAGCTTATGAGAACAAGATATATTCTAAGAACAAGTGTTCTGTTATCCAGCAAACCACATAAACTGGCACGAACCACAGAGTACAGTGCAAAAAGTGTAAGGCACTGTGGTTTAATGGCCAACCGCTTCTCATTTTCAAAGAAATGTGATGAGGAATAACAAAACAAAATGAAATCATCAGCAGACTAATCAACTTAGCTTTTTAATAGCATTTTCTAAACATGAAAACATCCTCCATTTCTTCCACACTCAAGAAGCAATATTGCCAGTATTCTACAACATTATTAAGCTCAAATGATGATGTGATTCAATTTTGTGTGGCCTATGCAGTCCACACACCTCTTAACATGAAAACATTTGGATTTTAAATAGTCTACATTAACCACTTGTAATCTCAATCTACGTGACATGTCATACATGAGATTGATGCTTTTATTCAGCAATGATGCATTTAATTGATCATAAAGTGACAGTAAAGACATTCATAATGTTACAAAAGATTTCTGTTTCATATAAATGCTGTTCGTTTGAGTTTTCTCTTCATCAAAAAAAAAAAAATCACATTTTCCACAAAAATATTAAGCAGCACAACTGATTTCAACATTGATAAAATAATAAATGTTTCTTGAGCACCAAATCAGCATATTAGAATGATTTCTGAAGGATCGTGTGACACTGAAGACTGGATTAATGGCTGCTTGAATTACATTTTAAAATATATTAAAACGTTAAAAATTTTAAATGTAATAATAGCTCACAATATTACTGTATTTTTGATTAAATAAATGCAGCACTGATGAGAATAAGAGACTTTTTGGAAAAAAAAATATAATAATAATTTAAACCTTACCAACCCCAAAGTTTTGAACGGTAGTGCATATAATGCTCCAGGTAAACACAAATAAAATAACATATGGTATATGTGTTAATGGGTTATTCCTGCAGATATAATAATAATAACGCCATGTCAATCATGTTACAATTTCAATGAGAGTTACATTTTATCTTGCAGTGTGCAGCCCCCAAATAACACTGAAGCTTTCAGCATTTATGTGAAAATAATTTTGTGTAAATAGCTATTATTGAATCAAAAGAAAGTCATTTAAGTCCCTGTTATAGTGATTCGTGTTCTTTTAGGTAGACCCTTAGCGTAATTCTCTACGAATGCAAATATATATCATATAAATGCATTATTGCATATAGGCTGGAATGCACTACACGAATTTTGCCCCCGATTAACAGTTTGGATAAGTCAACACTAGTTACCAAAAGTCAGAGCCAGTCTGCGGATTTGAGTGGACAGATTCCACAGAAAATCGTGTAGTGTATGATGGTCACAGATTCTTTATTTTTTTAGCTACAGACTATGAATTCATCCAGCCAGAGGATATCAAACATGTTTGATATTTTGAGCCAGTTTCAGAACACATCTTTTTTTCATTTGTCACGCGTCTCCTATCAACAAGGCACACGTTTCTGCGTGAGTGTGTTGTGATCGGAACAACTTGAAAGTCTGGTAGTGTATGATCCTCAGTCGTGACCAGTTTTCCTTTGTGACTCTTTACAAAGTCAGTACGTGTATGATGCCTAATGTTTTCAAATCTGTTCAGACATTAAAAGTTGTGTAGTGTATTCCAGTCTTAAAGAAAAACTCAAATTAAAAGATGAATCTGATTCAGGTCAACTATATTCCCAACTATATCCTAGATTATGTTTTAAGAAAATAAAATGTAAATGAATATGTAAAAAAACTAATCGAAAAGTTAACTCTGCTTAACTGATAAAATGTATCATTCACCAAAAAATGAAAATTCTGACATTATTTACTCACCCTCATGTCATTCCACACATGTATGGCATTCTTTCTTTTGTAGAACATAAAATATTTATTTGCAGAATGTCTCAGTTTTTTTTGGTCCATTTAATGGAAAGTCACACACCACAAGTGGTGTGAGTAAATGACTGAATTTTCTTTTTTTTTTTTAGTGTACAATCTCTTTAACTGTACTGAAATAGCTCACGAGGTGGTCTTGATTTTACGTGCTTCGTGTTAGAAAGGATTATTGCTTAATTACTCAGATTGACTCACTAACTCATAACTCAATTTCTTTTGAATTCCGTTCATTTGACATATTTTAAACATGTTGAGGTTTACAGTGAAACTCTGTGGCTCTGGTAAACTGGATTCAAATAGAAATATAGGAAAAGGAGTCGACCATAACACCTACAAGCATCTTTAAAATAAAGAAAAAATTAAAGTAAAAACACATCTTTCAGAAACAACAAAAACACCTAAATTAAACAAGCTCTTCAGATAGTCAAACTTGGCTTAGACTTTAACACACTATTTTTGTACATACTCCACTTTGGCTCCGAGCTCTTTTGTGGCAAACGAGATTAAAGTAGTAAGTACTCGCATTTGTAGAGAGGAATTACCCATCACTAGAAAAATGAGTTGAGCCAGATCAACCCAGTCCAGTTTGCCCAGTACTGCCATGACCTCAGAGTACAGTTTTCTCTTCTGTTGACGAGGCATCTCCATTATGATCTGGTGAAGAGGATGGAATTTGTCACTAGTCATCCACCATCCCACGGCGCCTCCCAAAGCACTACCTGCGTACGATAATAGGAAATGGAGATCAAGTAGGACAAAGAAACAAACTGCTAAAGATGCACTAGGTTCACTAAATAGACTGTCCATAATTGTTAATCGATAAAATAATCGGTTTTCCTCACTTGACATTTAAAGTTGATCAAATTAAGTTGTCTAAACATTGACTTTATTGATGAATTTGTTCCTACATTTTCTACACAGGCTAATCGAAATACGGTTATTAAGGATTTGGTTTAAGGTTCTTCATGAAACCATTGATGCCAGAATCTTTACTGTTATTACAACAAAAAAAGTCAACATAGGGGAGCGCGAGGCACAAAGTAACGCGGGGTTAGTTGTAACACACATGGTTTGAATATTTCCACACATGCTAGCATAACAAAATTTACAGTATTTATTAGTTACCATATCAACATTATATAGAAATAAAAAAAATTATTTGTGCTCCAAAACTCAAAAATCTTTTGAAGATATCGCTGAACATTTATTTTACCATAGTAAAATTACAATTCTGGCTTAAGTACATTTTTCATCTCAGTTTTTATTATTCATTTAAAATGAGACAAATCTGCTATTATTTTAATCTCCAATCTGTTATGTATCAGTTCAGATCGTTTTTTTTTTATGCTTTGATTACTAGCAGAAGACCCTAACCAGTTTTAAATTCCAGTTGCGCAGATGGGGCACGTTGTAACACTGTGTTACAATGTGCTATTCTATGACATTAGCGATGTAATTTACACTATTTACTTTAATGAGTTTTCATGAGAAACAACGATAAGCAGGTGAATAAAGACTGACAGTCAATGTTTAATGTTTAGAAATGATTATTTCAAGACATGCAAAGCATTTTGGCTCGTTTATGTGGGCTGTCCCAAGCATGGTTGCAATGTGTTCATTGTCAAACTCCAAAATCAGATTCTTTTTCATTCTTAAAAAACGGCATTATTTTATTTGAAAAAAAAAAAATATTTTATTTTATTAACAAAATATTTTAGTTTGTCTTGTATATTTTTTTCATTCGATCAGATAAGATTTTAAGCTGTCATATGGTCATGTTACAACGTGCCCCTCAGATGTTACAATGTACCCCACCTAAGGGGCATGTTGTCACATTTCACTTCCGTTTTTTTTTAGGGTAAATAAAGAAAAACGTATACACTGTAATTATGAAACAAAGCGACATATTTGTACTAGACAAGCGTAAAATTACTGTGGATAATATATAT